CTTTTTCACTTAAAAGGTTATTTTTAATGATATTGCATAGAATTATGTATTGATTTTTGTGGGGGGGGGTTTGTTTTTTTTTTGGTTCTCTATCAGCACAGGTTGAAAATGCAGTTATTTACCTTTTTTTTCTTTTTAACCATTTTCTGCCTTGATTAAGAGTAGCAGCAGTCTTTCTTCACCTGGATTCAAATCTCACCTCTGACATTTACTGATTATGTTACCTTGTACAGGTTACTTAACATCGTCACATTCTCCATTGCTGTACCCCCCAGCCATTTGAGTAGTTTGAGAAAAAATGTTAATTTGCTGACATGGTGGTTATAAAGGTTGGCAATAATGAATGTAAATTCCTTGGTAAATAATAGGTCTACAGTAGGTAGCTATGATTCTAGCAGATAGCTGGGCTTAGTAGGTAATCTGAGCAGATCAAGTATGTGATTGTTACCATTTAAAGGGCTTTGCTTACATTATTGAAGAAGAACAAAGTAGGAGGTCTCACACTCCCAGATCTCAAAACCTAATATACAGCCACAGTAGTCATAACAGCCTGGTATTGGTACAGTGACAAACACATAGACCAGTGAAATAGAATTGAGAACCCAGAAATAGATCCATCAACCTGTGTTTAGCTGAGCTTTGACAAAGGTCGAAATCCATTAAATGGAGAAGAGATTGTCCCTTTAACAAAAGATGCTGGCAAAACTGGATATCCATTTGCAGAAAAATGAAACAAGATCCATACCTCATACCATACACAAAAAGTAACTCCAGGTGGATCAGACTTAAATATGAAACCTAAAACTATAAAGTTCCTCAAGGAAATAATAGGGGCAATTTAGGCGCTCTCATTTATGGCATAAATAGGCTGTCAAGCATAACCCAAAATGCACAAACAGCAGAAGATAAACTAGATGAATGGGACCTGCTAAAAATTAAATGTTTATGTGTTTCAGAAGACTTCTGCAAAAGAGTGAAAAGAGAACCTACAGATTGGGGAAAAATACTCGGCAATGACGTATCTGACAAGGGACTTATCTCTAATGAAAGCTCCAACACCTCAACAACAAAAAGACAAACAATCAAATTCAAAAATAGGCAGAAGACATGAATAGTCATTTTACCAAAGAGAATATTCAGGCAGTCAAAGAACACATGAAGAAATATTCATGATCATTAGCCATTAGAGAGATGCAAATCAAAACAATAATTAGATACCATCTTGCCCCAGCACTAGTAGCAAAATTTAACAAGACAAAAAATAACAAATGCTGATGGGGATAGGATGTGGAGAGATTGGGACTCTCATCTGCTGGTGGGACTGTAAAATGATACAATCCCATTCCAAAAAAAAAAACTCAACAGCCATCGAGTCAAATCTTATTCATAGCAACCCTTCCTTGGGTTTCTGAGGTGATATCTCTATGGAAGTAGATGACCCAATCATCCTTTAGCAATCCGATTACTAAGTATATATCCTAAAGAAGTGACAGCCAGGACAAGAACAGATACATGCACACCTGTGTTCATTGTTGCACTATTTATAATAGCAAACCAATGGAAACAACCTATGTGCCCATCAACAGAAGAATGGATAAGTGAACTATGGTACATATACACAATGGAATACTATGCAACACTAAAGAATGATGTAGAATCTTCAAAACACTGCATAATGTGGATGAACTTGGAGGACATTGTGCCAAGTGAAGTAAGTCAGTCACAGAAGGACAAATGTTGTATTAGTTCATTATTGTAAAAAAAGTCAAGGAAAAGTTTATATATGGAAGGAAACTTTCTTTGTGGGTTACCAGGGGTGGGAGGGGAGAGAAGAAGATGGAACACTGCATAAATAAATTAACAGTCAATAAATAAATAAAGGGCTTTACTTAATAGCTGTGTCCTGTGTGCCACTCTTGTTAATTTTTTGGAGAGGAGAATTGAGAAATGAAAAAAACTTTAGAAGAAAAGATTGGTCATCATCTATCAGCCCTGCTTCCTTTTTTCCTTCTTCCTTCTTTCTAACACCTAAAAAATGCATTTTTAGAGGATATTAACAATTCCCTGGTAGAGTGGTTAAGTGCTCAGCTATAAACCAAAAGGTCAGCAGTTTGATCCCCCCCAGCCATTTCTTGAGACAAAAATGAGGTAGTCTGCTTCCATAAAGATTCACAGCCATGGAAAACATATGGGACACTTCTGCTCTGTCCTATAGGTTTGCTATGAGTCCAAATCAACTAAAAGCAATGGGGCTATTTTTGTTGTTTTAAATTATGAAGAAGTATATTCATGACTCTTTTATTATTATTACTAATTTTTCCATGCCTTCTGATTTTCTGGCATTTTATTTACTTGAAAAGCCTCATTATGGCAGAAGCCAAGTAGAGAGGCAGTTTAATGTGAAGGTTGAGAACATTAGCCTCTCAAGCTAGACTGCATGGGTTCAAATCGTGGCTCTACTTATTTGTTGTAAGACTATGAACAGGTTTTTCACCTTCTCTGTGTCTCAGTGTTCTTATTTAAAAGGGAGGTGGGGACTAATAAGGATAGCTCATTCAAGAGGCTTGTTGGAAGAGTTGAAGGACTTGTCATGTGCAAAGCCTTAAGGCCCAACATATAGTAAGTACTATATAAGTTTTACTATTACCATTAGAGTTGGAATATTGAAGGATTCTATGAGCAAAATATTTGATGCAGGAAGCATCAAAAGAAGGTAGAAGGAATACAAAGAATCATTGTACCAAAAAGAACTGGTTGATAACTGTTTCAGGAGGTGGCATATGATCAAGAACCAATGGTATTGAAGGAAGAAGTCAAAGCTGCACTGAAGGAATTGATGAAAAACAAGGCTCCAGGAATTGATGGAATTCTCATTGAGATGTTTCATCAAATGGATGCAGTGCTGGAAGCGCTTACTTGTTTATGACAAGAAATTTGAAAGAATGCTACCTGGCCACCTGACTGGAAGGGGTTGATATTTGTGCACATTCCAAGGAAGTGATCCAACAGAATGTGGAAATTATTGAACAATATTGATACCACACACAAGTAAAATCTTGCTGAAGATAATTTTCAAATGGTTGCAGTAATGACAGGAAACTCTCAAGAGATGCAAGCTGGATTCAGAAGAGGACATCATTGCTGATGTCAGATGGATCTTAGCTGAAAGCAAAGAATACCAGAAAGATGTTTACTTGTGTTTTGTTGACTATGCAAAGGCTTTCGACTGTGTGGATCATAATATATTATAGATGAAATTACAAAGATTGGGAATTCCAGAACACTTACTTATGCTCATGAGGAACCTGTACATAGATAAAGAGGCTGGCGTTAGAACAGAACAAGGATACACCTCATGGTTTAAAATCAGGAAAGGTGTGTCACAGTTGTATCCTTTCTTCATACTTAGTCTGTATGCTGAGCACATAATCTGAGAGACTAGACTATATAAAGAAAAATGCAGCATCAGGATTGGAGGAGATATGCGGATGACACACACAGCCTTGCTTGCTGTAAGTGAAGATGACTTGAAGCACTTCACTGATGAAGATTAAAGACTGCAGTCTTCATATGGATTGTATTTCAACATAAATAAAACAGAAATCCTTACAGTTGGACTAGTAAGCAGCATGACAATAAATGGAGAAAAGATTGAAATTGTCAAAGATGTCACTTTACTTGGATCCACAGTCAACACCCATGGAAGCAGTAGTCAGGAAATCAGACGTGTTGCACTGGGCAAATCTGCAAAAGACGTTTAAAGAGTAAGGTACACCTAACCCAAGCCATGGTATTTTTAGTTGCCTCATTTGCATCTGAAAGCTGGTCAGTGACCAAGGGAGACCTAGAAAGAATTGATGGTTTTGTATTGTGTTGGGCAAGAATAATGAAAATACCATGGACTGCCAGAAGAAAAAACTGTCCTGAAAGAAGTGCAGCTGGAATGCTCCTTCGAAGTGAGAATGGCCAGACTTGTCTCACCTACTTTGGTCATATTGTCAGAAGGGACCATTCCCCAGAGAAGGATGTCATGTTTGGTAAAATGGAGGGTCAGTGAAAATGGGGAAAGACCCTCAATGAAGTGGATTGACACAGTGGCTGCAATGATGGGCTCAAGTATAGCAAGGATTGTGAGGATGGTGCAAGAAAGGACAGTGTTTTCATTCTGTTATACATAGGGCTGCTATGAGTCAGCTGACTTGATGGTACCAAACATTATTATAATATTGGCCTTTGGTGTTGAATCAACTAAGCTTTTCTTCAATATACTGCAAATACATTTACAGGGATTTTGAATTATGTGAGAAATTTCTGAGGAGGCTCGTCCTGTGGTATTTTTTTCTATACTTGATGTTCATCCCTTGGATGACTCTTCCAGAATTAACTTGACAACTTTGACTCAAGTATAGTTGCTGCCTCCCCAGAATGAACCATATCTTTTCTAACTTATTTCTTATAGAGTCTTAAGAAGTCAAGAAAACCTGATGGGGTTTAAAATCCAGGTGTGGCCACTTTGCTAGCCTAAGCAGGTTGTTTAACTTGTCTCAGCCTCAGTTTTCTCTTCTGTAAAATAGGAATAATGCTTCACCTGTATAAAACAGCTAATCAGTGGGATCACAATATATCTTGGTTTGCCTAGGACATTCTTGATTGAAGCCTGTGATTCTGGCATAATTATTAATAATGTCCCCTTTTGCTCAAAAAGCCTCTTGGTTTGGATGATGCGTTATGTGATTATCATACCTCTCACAGTGCCTTGCATAGAATTGTCATGCAAATGGCACTTTTATTTTTCTTTATATTATTAATAGTTTACCGTTATTATGCTTGGCAGACCAAGTTCAGTCAGGCCATAAATATTTAATGAATGCCCAGTATGTTTAAAGTGCTGTTCAGCTGGTCTGACAAGCTGTGGTTATAACAACACTGAAGGGAATTTTAAATAATTGAAAGGAGATTGGAGATAGTTGATGAAAATTTGTTTCTTTATGTTTTTCTAGGTTTACCTTACAGATTTGAAGTACAGCAGATGTTAGAAGAACCTCAATGGGGATTAGTATTTGAAAAGACAAGATGGATAATAGAAAAATACAGGCTCTCCCATAGGTATGTGCTTTGGTTTGAGATGGTTGCACATCTGCAATATTTCTCATTATGTTTTCGAGAAAACCCAAGTTAAATATAAATTATGATGCATGGCATCAGTGATAGTTTATTACAGAACTGATTATAGAATTTGTTTCATTGTTTTGTTTTTTTCTTCATATTTCTTTCTACAGCAGTGTCCCCATGGATAAAATCTTTCACCGGGATTCTGACCTGACTTGTTTGCAGAAAGTAAGCTGTCTTCATTTTAATTGGTTCCATTGTTCACAAATTCTAAAGCTATTCATCTTGATGTGTTTTCCCAAGATGCCTCATGTTTTGTGGATATGTTTTCTGTGTATTTCCTTTATTGCTTTTTCCTTTCTAAAATTAATTTCTAAGAGATCATTAGTAATATATTTTGTTGCCCAAGCTTATATATAGAAATAATATACTATAGAATAAATTTGTCAGTGTTGGTTGATAAATTTCTTAGCAGATTATTATTGTATACAACAGAAAACATTTTTCTCATTTTATTAATTCAAAAACATCATGTTTCTATTTTAGCCTTAAAAATCAATCTCTTTTAAGAATGGTGGTATAAATCCAGCAATTAAATTTAAATGGTCATTTTACTTAATGTTCTGGAAGGAAATGCCAGTTTCTGATTATTTATTTTACTTCTAGTCTTGCTTCTATAATGAATTAAGACCAGTAAACTGGCAACGTTTAATCCCCCCTTTTTTTTTGGTAGCCATTTGGGAATAGAAAATTTAAACCTAGTAAGTTTCTTTTTCATATATTGTACCCTCGGTTATATCTGCTTTTTCTGTGTGCTGTTGGAAGATTAAGCTGCACATTTCTCAGCAAATAGACTCTAGCATTCTGATTTTGAAATGGTAGAGTCCTGTGTGTGTATGGCATTTAACTACCAAAAGAGAGAAGCAAAGTCATCATATTTGTCCAAATTTGAAAGCATCATGTATTCAGTTTTAGTTTTGTCTCATTATGTAATAACATGAAGGAACCAAGCTAATCTTCCTCAGTGGCAGTATCCTATACAGCAGCTAGCTACAGTTATAAAATACAAAGTGATCTTCCACCATATATAAGGAAAATTGTTTTCATTTGAGTATTAGGAAATGTGAGATTTGGAGAAGGATAAAATAGTAATAGTAAAGCAAACTCTTTTGACACTATTTTATATTTAAATATGAAACTTTTCTTTTCAACTAGCTTTTGGAGTGTCTGAGGAAAACTCTGAGCAAAGTGACCAATTGCTTCATTGCTGAAGAATTCTTGACTCAAATAGAAAATTTGTTCCTTTCTAATTATAAAAGCAAGCACAAGAATGGAGTAGCTGAAGAGAACTGTACTATGAGTGCAAAGGAATTGTTAATGTGATTATTTTAAAGATATTTTAGTCTTGACATACATCCTGCTTCCAAAGTTATAACCTTGAAATTATTGTAATTTAGTTAAGACTGATACAACTTTGGTATTATATTTTTCTCTAGTTCACAAAATTATTAACCACGTAAGTCATGTGAAAAGAAAAAGATAACGGCCTTGTTTTCGTATAGTAATTATTAAAGTGTTGTATAAACCAGGGCATGCCTCAGTGTCCCAGCACTACCATGCAGTAAGTAGCATGTAAGACGCGGTAGCATACTGTAAGCAGTGCAGTAGATTGAAGGTGGTCCACTTGACTCTTGTATATAGATTGATAAGTGGAATATGTGTATAATTTTTATGTCTTCCCCAAATCAGCCTTTTATTACATTTCACTTTACATATCTCACGTCTCATTTAGAAACATTTCCATTCTTTCCATATGTGTTGATGCAGTTGTTTACGGTTGTAAATGGGATGGATAGGTGGTCACTGAGCTCATTAGGGCTGAAACAGTTGGGAACTGCTGATTTAACAAATCTGGCAGCATACTCTAGGGAGGTAACAGACACGGAAGGAGAGAAATCTTAAAAGAACAGAGAGAGGAAAGGCCCAAAGGAGAGAATCAGATTTCCAGTTTTTTAATCGTAGATATTTGTTTCCATTTTGTTTTGTAGTAATACTACAAGATATGTCATTTTTCTCAGCTATCTGGAACATTTTTTTTGGATTTCACTTATATAAATTACAGCTTTAACTGTATGTCCCCTTCCATTAATGTGTGTAGAACCACATTTAAGTGGATCACAGGAAATCATAATCCTCAAATTAGATTTATTTATTTATTTATTTATTTTTACTCCTACAGCATACATACTATTAGGAAAAAGAGGTAGATTACAATAAAGCTTGAATAAATCAGAGATCTAATTCTAAAAACAAAAAAGCCTTCCAGGACATACTACATATTCAACCCAGTTTCCCATACTTTCTGAATCTAGAACAGATTCCAACAGAGGTTGGAAAACAGTTTATGTGAAAGGTCAGATAATAATTTAGGCTTTGCCAACCACATGTGGTCTCTTTCAGATAGTCTCTTTTGTATTTTTTTACAGTGCTTTTACAACTCTTTAGAAGGTAAAAACCATTCGGAGCTCATGGGTCTCACAAAAGACAGGCCTTTTTTCCAACTCCTGATCTACAGAAATGCGGACATTTAGAATTTATATTACGATTCATGACCCTGAGATACTGCATTATCTTCAGCAAAACTCAGAATTGTGATTTAACTTTAAATACTTTAAAAAAATATGTTTTGTTGTGTTTTTGGTGAAGGTTTACATAGCAGTGTAGGTTCCTATCCAGCAGTTTCTACACAAGTTGCTCAGTGACATTAGTTACGTTCTTCACAGTGTGTGAACCTTCTTATTATTTCTGTTCTGGGTCCAGTTTCATTAATCAAGTTTCTTTGCCCCCTTACATTCTTACCTTTGTTTTAAAGTAATTGTTGACTGTTTGGTCTCATAGATGATTTTTTTTATCTTTAAGTGCATCTTTAATAAAAGTAAGGGGCCATGCTACTTGATTTACTGAAATTTTATGGTTTTAGTTTATTTTTCTTAACCAGAGAAATGATTTATATCCTTTTTCTGATCATTCCTATTACCGACTGTTTTATTATACCCAACCTGGGTATGAGTCTGCATTTTTGCTCTGAGTTACAATCAGTAGCCGAGGAAGAATGTGGCCACATAGAAAAGGACAGTGAGATAATCTTAGATGACTTGGGTCAGTGTTATCTCAGTCTCGTGATCTTAGGAAATACAGTTTACCTTCTCTGGGCCTACATTCTTCTTGTGTAACTGAGGTCTCAATTAAGTTTCCAGGATTCTTCCAGGTCTAAAATGTTATAGCTCATTATAATTTTTGGCCTACTCACCTAGAATTTCATATTTTGAGACATCATTCCCAAATAACATACTTTTAAAGAAAATTGTTAATCTTTTCCATTTCTCTGTGTACATTTAGGATAAACAATGAAACAGTTTATAAAGCAGTTACTTCTGGAAGTTAAGGGTGTAGAACTCTACAGTAATAATTAAGAAACCTAGTCTGGTAGCATAGTGGCTGGCAGTTCAAACCTACTATCCACTCCTCGGAAGGTTGGACAATTTACTACCATAGTGATATCGCCACGGATACCCAAGCAGGGGTTGCTATGAGTCGGATCTGACTTGACGGCACATAACAACAGCAACAGTAGTGCTTATCCTTACTCTGTTACTGGTTTTTCTCTGTGACATTGATCAAATCATATAATTTATCTGGGCCTCTAGCTCCTCATCTCTAGTCCAAGGGTCAGAACTATATTGGTGTTTTGTTTCCAAGTGCAGAGGTCTATGATTCTGTGAAAAGCAAGATTCAGTCTGCCTTTGTTTTGACCTATTTTTCTCATTGTACAGCAGGGGGGAAAACCAGAAATTAGTATTAATTAAATTTCTTGAGTGACATCTCCCTGTTGTATCAGTCAGTTTGGGTGATAGAAAATGTTAAAAGTTCTCAGATCTGAGAGTTTCTGTATGCCAGTGGTTAACCGTCTTTATTAGCCAACCACCTAATCAACCTATGAGGGACTCGAATATGACAATCTTCAGAGTTTAACACCTTAGTAGCACAATTTTTAAAATAATATTTACTGAGTACTTTTTCTTCTGATTATAAAAGTATATTTATTTTAGAAAAAATGTTTTTAAAATACAAAAAACTTATAGTTTTCTAAATAAATAAAAATTTCTCAGTCTTACTACCCAGAAAACGACAGTTATTAGCATTTTCTTATAAATCCTTACCTCCTTTTTTTCTGACAGTGCAATTTTAGAATGGTAAAAGTTATTTATTGTTTCCTGTCCTCCTTCCCAAATCATTCCTCTTGCTTCGTTTCCCCTGTTGTCATATGGTTAAAATATATTTGCAGATGCCCACACTCTGTGACTGCCAACCTTGGGCTCTGAAGCTAGGGCCTTGGAGATGCACAAAAGAATGCTAGAACTGAGTGGGAGTGGAATACAGGAGGCAGGGTCACAACTCTAGGGCTTTTTCTAGGTGTACTATGTACACCAAGAGCCCTGGTAGTTTACTGCTCAGCTGCTAACCCAAAAAGTCAGCGGTTGACCCCACTAGCTGCTCTGTGAAGAAAAGACCTGGCTGTTCCCATAAAGATACAGCCCTAGATGATGATTTTTTTAGCCTTAATTACATCTTTAATAAAAGTAAGCTGTCCAATTTATTGAAATGTTATAGATTTTAGTTTATTAACCAGGGAAATGATTTACATCCTTGCATTGTAGGGACTTTTTGCAAGGAGCCCTGGTGGCACAGTGCTTAAGTGCTCATCTGCTAACTGGAAGGTTGGGTCGGCACTTTGGACCCACCAGCTGCTCCATGGGAGAAATATGTTCCAGTCCACTTTCATAAAGATTTACGGCCTTGGAAACCCAATGGGGCAGTTCTACTCTGTCTTACAGGGTCGCTGTCAGTCAGAATTGACTCGACAGTGGGTTTGGTTCAGTTGGTTTAGGTGCTTTTGCTCCATAGGCTCTTCCGTAAAAATACTCAAAATTATATTTTATTAGTGTGTTAGTGTAAAATGAGTATGTTAATGTTAGAAATTGAAACATTTATTTTACTCTAAAAGTTTATCTTTTCATTTTAGTTTTAAAAGAAATTAAACCATTTTCATGGGCCTTTAAAAGTATTATGGGCCCCAGGCACTGTGTCTGCTACATCTAGTGGGTAAGTTGGCCCTGCCTATATTCTGAAGGTTATTGTTGAAAAAACCACAGTTACCACCCTCTCCCAGCCCCCACCGCAGCAAACCCTGAGGCAGCTTTGCCACCCCGCCAACAGCACTGTGACCCCTCACTGCTACAAAGCTGATAGACCTGAATATCATTCCTTTCCTACCTAACAAAAACTCAGGAGTATTGATTGGGACCATTCATCCTCAGAATAGGAGACAAGGGGTACTTTTTATCCTCAGGTAGACATTTTTGTTCTGCTTCTTAATTTTTAGTTTTGCAACTCATCCTGGCCGTACTTCAAAGGGGAACATCTTACTGCCTTTCTCTCCTCCCTTTATTTTTCTCTAATTCTTCCTTTCATCCCTACTTTCTCCGTTTCTTACCTCTCAGCATACAGGTTACAGACTCACTTATTTCTGTCATTTGTTAAAAGGTAGACCTCTAGAATAGAGATGAACAGGCCCATTCATATTTCCCTAAAGTGGTTAAATACTGCCCTCACCTTCTGTCTAACTTTCCTTCCTCCTCAGGCCAGGGATGAGGTCTGTGGCATATGAACTGTAAGAAAGGGCAGAGGCCCTGCTGCTCTGTGGGCACCAGAGGGGACTTGTGTGGTCTCTCATCAGGCCAGCCTGAGCAGATCTCCTGCCTTGTAGTTTGCCTTCTTCCTATTTATCCTACAGTTGTTACCTGATAAGGTGAGCTGGAGGAACTGGTGCAGTCAGAATGCTGTAGAATCGATGCTCTGTCCTGTATCTACAAGAGCCATATGATACTTAACAGCCTTCACTGTGAAGTCACTAAAGGTGTCCCATGGATTGCTTTCTTAGTAGTAATTCAGTCGGGATACCCCAATTTTTTTTTTTAACCTATATTTTCCTCTGCCAATAGTTAGAAACTAAATTTAGAGTCACTTTATGGCATTTAGGAAAACTTAACTTCATGCAAGCACAAAAAAAAGCACATTTTTATAATCATATATTCCATCAGGGCTCATATAGAAATTAACAAAGAAATTACAGATGAATGCTGTATTTTGCTATATTTTGAGAAGATCACTGTGGGAAAATAATGTAATATACTTAGCTTATTTCCTAACAGTTTCTTCAATTTTTTGTTTTTCCCATTTAACATGTAATTTGTGCTTTCCAGTATTTTCTGAATCTATCTTTTAAACTACTTAAATCTTTCTGGAATAAGGCAGGGGATAAATGTGTTGTCCCCACTAACTCGGGAGAAAATAAAAATATCCCACAGAAGCTGTGAGTATGCCAAGGCTCTCT